TCTGTGTGGGATCCTCCAACATGTTTTAGGCATCAACCATACCTTCGGCGTCGACACACGCCGCGTTCAGTCTTGCTAGGGGGGACTGTGGGAGCCTGCACCCCGTACTGCTGCGTTGACTCATTCTCTCTTCGCTAGCCAAGTCGTTGTGAACTCCTACGCACTTTTATCACCAATCGCCGCGAGAGGCCCACGATGTCCAGCTTTTCCCACGCTATCGGTCGACTCGCTTCGATGCGCGCTGTGCCAGCTAATTGGCTAAGGACACACTTCGCACTCAGAGCTTCGCAGCATCGGACAATTTTTCGCCGACTCGACTGGCTATAGTACGCGGCGCTTGCAGCGGCTATTGTACGGCTAATTTAGCGCAGTAAAGCTGTTTCAGTTCAGTCCGTCTTCCCTGATTTGGGGATTCTTCTGTTATCGGTTCAGTAATTAGCTTTCCATAGACTTATCAGCATGCACTTTCGCTTTCATAAGCAGATATTGGAGACAATAGGATAATTGCGCAGGTTACTTAACTGAAACAACAGATTTCTTTCACTTAAATTTAAGCTGATGTTTCGTTATATCTCTATCCTTTCTGGGTGGCGTCTCTGTCAACGAGAAGCATTAAAACCAACGAACGGTTTTACGAATTATTTTTGAGCTACAAAGAGAAAGCATTTGTCCTGGAGAGGAGCTCATGTCACGGTTTATTCGTCGTTACCTGCTAATCCTAACGATGACCTTTAAGGAATTAATATAAAATTTCGCGCTCCAGATGTTTGCACGAGTAAAGATTGGTTGAGCATCGGAAAAGTTTGTTGCTGCTGTTACCTCTAACGATTAAGTTCTATAGGAGGTTGAAAGCTCAATACACTAAACAAATTGTTCCGGTGCTCAACCAGCTCTATTCTTTACTCGTACTCTTTAACCAGTGAGCCTTGTACTTTACATTAAGATGTCTCATAAAGGTATTTGTTTACCAAAATGACTGCAATGAGCATCTTTAATAACTAACCAATTTTGGATTTTTAATTATTCAGTGCGGTCGATGGAGCTCCTTTTATGCCTCATAATATGGATTTTCCTTGCTGCCAAAGCATTTTACTCCCTGTGGGTAGTCTCCCGGTCAGACAGTAAGTTTATTTATCAGGGCTCAGTTTTGACTGTTTCAGACAATCAGCTCCAGTTTTCCGCCAGGTCTCTTCTAAAAGACAGCTGGAATGGAATGTTCAAGGTACATATGCATCTACTTTATTCACAGGCTCCAACTCTAGGACTCGAAGGATACTGAATGGTCATTGGTCTACATGTGGTTGTTAAAATTGCCGCTGATATCTCTCTCTTTGCTAAGCACTCTGTTAAGTAGCCGGTTGAGGTCTAAAGAGGTATGGCTTCAATTCCTCTGACTTTGAATTACAGCTTGCACAAATATGTGAAGTATTTTTGTTTGCGAGCATTATCGTCCCGACTATCTCACCATTAATCTTCCCTACCTGCGTCCTCGCTACTGTTGTATATGCAGTACTC